CGTTCCATCCCTTTTCCGGGGACGGAGGTGAGGCTGACTGGCCTGTAGGTGGCTGGGTCCTCCTTCTTGCCTTTTTTGAAGACTGGCGTGACATTGGCCTTCTTCCAGTCTTCCGGCGCCTCCCCCGTTCTCCAGGATCTTTCAAAGATGATGGAGAGTGGCTTAGCTATGACATCTGCCAGCTCCCGCAGCACTCTGGGGTGCATCCCATCAGGGCCCATGGATTTGTGGGTATCGAGGTTCCTTAGGTGCTCTCTGACCCAATCTTCTTCTACCCAGGGCAAGTCTTCCTCTCCACCAGCTTCTTCTCTTGTCCCTAGGGCCTGGGGCTCTAATGGGCTGCCCTTGGTAAACACCAAAGCAAAGAAGGCATTCAGCATCTCTGCTTTTTCTGTGATTTGTAACCAGGGTGCCCATCCTGCCTGCCAGCGGACCCATGTTTTCCCTGATTTTCCTTTTGCTGTTAATGTATTTAAAGAAATTTTTCTTGTTAGAATATTCTCACAGTAGGGAAAAACAAAGTAGGAGAGGATTTGTCAAGAGAAACTATCATACCAAGTTTGGCTTCAAGATCAGCACAGCTGTGGTTTTCTTATTTTTCTTCAAAGCTTTTGTCATCTCGACCAGTCCTGTAAATAACAGCTCTATCCCACTGCTAGTGGGAGTCAGGAGCATTAAACTAGCAGCACATTCATTGGAACACCATTACATCTCCATCTTCCCCATCCCTGTTTCCTGAGGCAGATATTACAGTTATTCCCCTAAAACAACAGGTGTGTTCATATAATACAAACTATTTATACTGCTCTTTCTCCTTAGTCCTGTCAGTGAATCTTAACATCCTGTTATCCATTAGTATCAGGCCCAAGAAAAGTCATGAATGAGAATTCTGAAACACTTTCATTTTTTTCTTATAGTTCAACAGATTTACTCTCTTCCCCCCCTATGCATTATGCACAGCTTAAAAGGGGTGGACTTATTCAAACTCTTCACTTTTATCTGTAATATGGTATAAACAAGCATGAGGGTACTCGGAGAATTTCTAAAAACTGTAAATGTGACATAATGAACATTTCAAAATAGATCATGAGTGTAGACACTATAAGAAAAATCCACAACAGCCAAAATTACCATTTTCCATAAACAGGCTCTCTGTAACCACTTGATTTTAAAGAAGTGATAGTTATGAATTTTATTTTTATGGTAGACTTAGATTACACAAGAGACCAACCAGAACATATTTTATAAAATGGTTTAATGAATGCATGCATGTCTGATACAATGATCAATAAATTTACTGAATTCAAATTATTTACTGTTGTAAACATTTTACAAAAGCTTTGCGATTTATCTGGATATCCAGTCCTTGATGGAAGAATTATTCAGACTGAATCAGTGGCACATTAAAAAGTAAAGCTGTCAAGACCCATTCTGGATGTTCTATTTCAACATGATTTTGGCAAGAAAAACAGCATGGTATAAAAAGTGTACAGCAAAGATTGTTCCTACCGTAATGTCAAACTGGAAACTGTAAATACAAGTTAAAGTGGTTGAAACGGTCAAAGTTGTAATAGTTATAACCAGTCAAAAATTATAGTAAGAAGTGTTATCCAGTTATATGCAGCTGTCGAAACAGTGAGTTTCTTTCCTTGTCAGTTGATAATTCTTTTCCAACAAGACAACAAAACTTTGACAGGTGGAAGTGCTGAAAATAATTTTCAAAGTTCAAGACAGTCACAGCATTTTCTTTGGAAGATGAACTGTACACCAAGGCTCAGAGGTTATGAAAATTTGTTCCAAGTGAGGGGAAAAAAGTGCAAATGTCCTGCAGAGATAGCTTAAAAAGCTGCTTGTGCAATTGTTCACCAACAGAATCTTTGTTTTCTTTTTGCATAGTTCACACATCACTGGAAATGTGACAGGGTGTGCTATTTTTGGCAAGAGGAAGAAGAAAGTGATACTGGTGTGAGTTGCCATGTTGGGCACGCTGGATCCATGCAGAGTTCAGGTAGAGGGCTGCTACCTGATGTTATTAGACACTGAATACTGATTTTGTTTTTGTTGAAGCAGTTCTGTAATAGCCAACAGCTTCTTAAGAACATGCTGTAGGGAAGAAAAAAAAAGTCAGTACAGCTGTACAGTAGCAATTGGAAAAAATGAGTCTCACTGCTGCAAAAACACTTCCAACATGAGTTTACCAGACTTGCTAGCCATCTGGTAAAAACAGTTTAAGTGTTTTCTACAATATTTCATATATTTTTATATTATAAATCTAATCCAAAAAGGAAACAACTCTGATTCCCTAGTTGCTGAGATATTCTGAAAGGCAACTGTAAAACATCATGATGAAGTTTGTCTTTGCACTCATAGATCTTCTTGTTTGGCTGTTTTTGAAGAGAACCAACACATCTTGTCAACTTAACCTGCAACTTTCAACGTGAAACCAAGTTCTCCTAGCCAAAAAAAACAGATTTTTATTCTCAGTTTTCTTCATGTTTTAAAGCAGAATGGAGCCAGGAAAATGGAAAAAAAAAAAAAAAAACCATCCTATGACCATAAAAAAGGTGATAGTCTAGTTCACTCTTCTGGACATCCAAAAATACTCTTTTATTCCTGAAAATATTGAACTCAGCTAGATGCATCTGAACATACACATATCATATACTTTCCTAGCCTATTTGTAACAACTTTGGGAGTCCAACCTTCTTTTCATCATAGCAGAGCTATCTCTAAAAACATCAGGGTGACCCTGAACCATTAAGGCATTGCTATTAGTGAGAGAATAAAAATAGAAAAACAGCTTTCAAGATAATTTTCTTTAGGGAAACCCCTGAGGAGAATAAATGCATTGAGAATATTGCATCTCAGATCACTGAAGTACTTCAGATCTACCTTGATTTTTAATCCCACTTACACATAGAAAGATGGCCCTTATGCATCAACATCACATAAATTTAGTGCTGAATGTCACTGGTATCCTGTGCAAGTCTGGCCATCTTTTTTGTCTTGTCACTATTTCAGTGAATTAGGAATGTGATCATGGTTCATTTTTCTCTCTCATATGCCACTAATTTTAGTTACTAAACTGGATAAGATTTGAACTGCTGTAATGAAAGAATTTCATTTCCAATTCCTTGAGCTTTCTTCTGACAAAAGAATGGAGTTAAAATAAAAATGTATTTTCATATTTTTTTCAAAAGTCACACAGAAGTTTTCAGTAACCCTCCTGTTTGGGGAAAAAAGCTTTACTCCTGAAATATGCATTAGAATGACACGATACTGAGTCATCTGTTGTCAGACCAAAAAAAAACAAACACAAGAAAAGACACCACTGATTTATGGTCTGCATAGGTTTACATAAAGACTTTGAAAGAGTCAGGATACAAGTAGTCTGGTCTTTGAACATGAGGATAAGAAATCTGATTTACAAGATGTCTGGAAATGGTAAAATTAACAACTATCCCAAAACTTGACTTCTTTGTCAGTGAGTCATTCAGTAAAACAAAAACACAACCACAAACCCAGAAATCCTTTAATGGCTAAGAACTCTTTTGATTTTTACTGCACATGTAGTGATGCTTTAAGCAGATACTGGCTAGTTGAAGTTCATCAGAAACAGCAGACTATAAGCAAGTATTTCCAAAGCAATGCATGAAGTTATTTGATTTTTTCCCTCCCCCTTAAAAATGAAGTTTGCATAAAAGTTATATACAAGTTTAATCATTGCAGCAAGATGCTTATAGTGTTTGCTACAAGTTTGACATGTTTGTTCACAAGTGCGACGAAGCAGAAAGTAGAAATGATTTAGCAACTTAAACCTAAGACAAGTACATTTAATTCTAAATTAAAAAACAATAGAAAAGCACTAACATTTGCGACCTACAGAACCATTTATTTGGTTTAGGCTTCCTCTAGAAACTAAAAGCTTTCTCTGGAGACTTTTTAACACCCACAGTTTTACAGCCTGTGTCATTTTGTTGTAGAAAGAAACTCAAAATTATGCACTGTTATTTACCTTTAGAGCTACCTCTTTGTGAAGTGCATATATGTCTATCACTCATAATACTGCTATCCAAAAGCACTTCCAAAAAGAGTCATGATACTACACTGTAACTCAAGACAAACCTGTACCCATGAGCTTTTTTTGCAGCTTACCTGCATTACCCCCCGCTCGTTGCTGAGTGTGCGAAGCTCATCTGAGTGTGCCACACATATCTCGTGCAAGGCGGCTAGGTCACGAGAGAGGTCAGTTCTAGAGCGCTCTGTAGTGTCTGGGAGCTCGGGAACATTCTTGAACAGAAACAATGAGAGCAGACTTAGCGGCAAGCCCCTGGCCATAAAGGAAATTAAAATTACAGCTCTGGAGACCACTTGTTCTGATACTGCAAGCAAGTATTGCAATGTTATTCTTCACACTTCTATCCACTAATCTTCTATCCATGGGAACCTAATGCAAATTATAGATTTCCTCATCTTCACAAGCATCCACTTTATGAAGATATTTTACAGCTGCACGTATGTTTCTCATGAAGTAATTACTGAAGATTTAACAGCAATGACTCCTCCTAAAAGCCTTCTACTGAAAGGTCCGATGTTGCTTGGCTACCTCTGAGCTGACCGGAAAGCTACTGATAATAGAGGTTTATCTTCAGTCTTCCCTCCGCTCATAGAATAATGTTGTCATTAAACTAGTAGATTAACCCAACAGTAGATTAAATGCAGCACTTTTCAGAATCTTCATGTATAATTCTAAGTTTAAAAGAAGAAAAATTCATGCATCATAATATGCAGAATTTGCCATTTAACTAGAAAAAAGGTGATATGTGACAGCCTAGCTGAATGCTCTGCCTTAAATATTCATTTTCATAGATTTCCTCAAAATATTCTGAGATATCTTCTAGGTCTGTTACGGACTCGATTTAGGAAGCTAGCCATATTTCTTTCATCTTCAGTTTTAAAACAAATTCTTGGTTTAAAAAAATATGTACAATGAACTCCGAAATACTGTAGTTTGAGTATGATACAGCTATCAGACATAACACACTTTCAAAGATAGCTACACTTACTATCTACTTTTAAACTACAAGTTGAATATATACAGGGAGACATTGTGTGATGTAATAAGTGAAATTTAACACTTTAAAAACATCAACATTTGCAATCTGATTGAAGCCAAAGGACAAACTATGCAATTTTCTGTTTTAAAAAATATTTTAAGAGATTGATATTTTTTGGCCAAAATCCAGTGGGGAAAAAAAAATGGATTTGAGCTATTCATGTCCACAGCGGTACTATATGAGCAAAATCTAATAGAACATTTCATGCTTTTAACTATGTGTGACAGGCCAGCAATGTGCAGTTTCTATGCAAGCATAAGAAATGTACTCAGTAACAAGCATTCAGAATTGTGTGGAAATTGATCCATTTTTGAGCTACTTATGAACTGTACAGAAATTTCATTTGCTGTCCTGCTATGTAGCTTCCAATAAAATTTATTATTATTTATTCACTTACCCCAAGCTCATCTAAGAACATGATCATGCGATGTTTGTTACTCTTGATGAACGGATTTACACCCTCCATATATGGTTCCTAGTAATTTTTAGAAGGATTTATTAGAACAAAGCAATACAAATTTGTTCCACCTGAAATGCACGTGCTGCAATCAGAGACAAGTGACATTGCAAAATAGGCACATTCTCTGCAATGATTTTATGTTTTCAAGCAAATTTTTTAAGGACTGGTTGCATACCAGTCAGAAGATTGTACTTTCTGTACTGCAAATCAATTCAGAAATTGTTTGCTAACATATACCTACAGACATAAAGTTACACATTTCTGAGATATTTAAGTAACTGCAATAAAAAAATGCAGCACTTTCAAAGACAACATCAGGACATAAGTGCCCTCTGTTCTTTCATTAATGCTTACATCAAATTGTGCGTCACACAACTACCTTTGTAACAGCAGCCTGAAGTCACTTACTTTCATTATGCTTAAGCCAACAGATTTATTGTTCATCCATGTTGCAGTTTGGGAACCAACACAGACCAGTTGTTGGCTCATTCTCTTAGTGCTACAATAGAAATTTTATTGAAAGATGAGGCTTTCTAGTGCGACTTGTCAAGCTAATTTACAATATTCTTTATGTCAAACTATGAAAATGAATACAAATAGAGGGGGTGTAGAACAGGAACCACTGCCCTAAGGAGCAAGTTGAACAAAAGCAGGGTAAAAGAGGGGGAGGTTTTCAATTGTTCATATGTTTCAGAATTAAATACTCTTATACACACCTAGGAGTTATGGTAGGTTTTGATTTGACTGGTCTGAACTTGCAAGCCAATTGTTATATATAATATATATTAAAAACGGGCATGGAATGTATTTCAAGGTTCTGTGTAGAGGGATGCCAATATTACTGAAAGATACTTCTCCCTTCTTGCCTCAAATAATAAGTGGAAATGCATAAAAAAAAAAAAAAAAAAAAAAAAATCCGTCATCTACTTTGGGCCTGGTTGAACTTACTCCTCCTAGTCACTGACTCCTGCTCTAGCAATTCTCTGTTGTCCTTTTCATACGGACATTTCTGAAGAAAATCCAGCCATTTTACTATCATTGCTCATGTTCTTTGTTGATGGCTGCCTGCTTTTACCTTCCCTCTTCAACTCCCACAGAAAATACACACAAACCCTTTCCGTCCCAGATAAGAGAAAAAGTCAATATGATTCCACTGTAGTTTTTGTTTTTAAACAAACAATTCTTGGATTTATTTATGCTCTTGTGCATCAAAGCATGGTCACATTACTCTGTTATACCTACTGGTATAGTCACCAGTTCATCAATTATTTTAAACAGACCTTTTCTGTTGTTCCTGATATCAGGTTCAAAAATCTAGGTGCTGTACCAAGTCATTAATACAAGTTTCTAGATCATTCATACTCAAATGACTATGGCTCCTCTTTCCAGTTCATCCACTTTTGCTACTCATGTAGTTCAGATCAAAACCCTGCTTGGCTCCAGCTGCGAAGAATAGAAGTAACTGCAGGAAAAAAGTCTCAGGACTGATGAGGACGCTCAGGCCACATGCTTGTCTTTGCGCAAGAAAAATGGCCCCTTATTTTATGCTTGTGTTCAACATGAACTATGCATTGGAAACAGATTTCTGTGTGTAAAATTATATTCACCTTGGCTCCAAATTCAACCAGGTTTGCTAAATTCTGCACAGACTTGGCGACCAGCGTCAGCGTTCTTGCAGCAGTAGGGGAAGGAGAATCTGAGAGGAAAACAAAGCAGTCAGCAGCCGCTGCATGTAAAACTACCAGCAGTGACATGAAACTCGAGTTCTTCACCAGTTCAGTTTTATCACTGAATACTTTACATGTTACAGCTCCATGAGGAAAATATCACTTGAAGTAAAACTTTTGTGGAATTAATTACTAAAACAAAAATATGCACATTATTAATTATGGTCAAACCTAGCTTTCCTCTTATAAGCCACTGAAAAGTTTCAAAATTGCCATGTTCAGCATATAAACTTCCAATTCTTCCTAAGAATGCTCTAAAAATGTCCATTGTCTATGTGCATCATTTGGTCTATCTTCCTCCCTGCCCTCCCCTAGCACTGCAATCCATTGCAAAATAGTATCCAGCTTTCTATGCAGAGCTGGAGCTTAAACTGAGGTGCTAAATCACAATCTCAGTACTCCTAATATCTAGCACATGCTATCCTACATCCCTTCAAAGCAGCACTGGTGTAAAACACTACTAGTTGTAGAATTTGAAGCTTCAGATTAGGAGGACTGATCTAAAATTAGTTAAAAAAATCATTTAAGACTATTGGAACACAGGGCTTGCTTTTGAAACAAGATTTTTGTGAACAGCCGTTGGGGCAGTAGGACAGACACATTGCTGCTGAAAACGGACATGCATCTTTACACCCTGACTGACTTTGTTTTTCTCCCCTTATGGAAAGGATGCATGTTGGAAGCTTTGTTCCCAAACCAAAGACCCCCTCCTCCACCCCTATTTTTAAGTGGCCCTGGGAGCTTTATAAAGACTCTCATATTTGCTAGGCAATAATTAAGAACAGGAATTTGCAGAAATCCCTTTTAAGCTTGTCAATAAGTCCTATGTAGTAGCTCTATTTACAGCTACAGACATAGCGGACTGAACACAGTTCCCAAGTCAAATAGTAACCAACTCCCACATTATCCAAATAACACACTGAAGACTGAACACTGTACAAGATCATGTTTTCTTTAAACGCCTTCCCCAAAGCATGTAGGAAAATGACAGGGGGAGAGAAAGGCACTTTCCAGTTGGTACTGGCCTTCCAATTCAGTATAGCTTAAAGAAGCACAGAAAGGAGGATGTCTGGAAATGGGACACCACCTCTTCCCCGGCAAGCGCTTTTCCTAAAGGGCTTCTCACACAATCACATTAAGTTCTTCCCATTTTTTGAATCAGGATTTTATTGGTAAAATTGACAAAGTGCCCTCTAAGTTGGGAGGACCTTTTCCCCAACACCCTGCCTCCCCTCCCAGAGAAATACAACATACACAAACTTTTAAAAGCTTATGGATGGTCCACTATTTTATTAATAGTTTTCCCACCAGCAGTTTATGCCTTTCCTTTTTTCCTCCTACATGAGGAATAAAGCAAAACTTCAGCCCCCAAATCCTTTCAACCCAGCCTTTTGTCTACAAGAACACTAAAAAATGGGATAGTTGATGCTTGTGCAGGACCCACGCTACACCCTGAAATATTTTTATGTACTTAAGCCAACTACCATGGAATAACCCATGTCTTCACCACGAAAGCTTTGCAGCAGGAAACCCCCACAAACCACGTCAGATGTGGTCCGTGATTTACGCCAACATCCAAATCTTACCCAACAACTGTTTGGGAAAACGCTACGTAGCCTCGGCCAGAACGGTGCCCCTGACCAGCTCAGCGATCTTGATCTTGCAAACAGCAATGCTCCCCATCACTTTTATTACCAAATTCATACTCTGTATAGTAAGCACCAATGAACAGGGTGGCTTTCTGTATGCTATAAAAAAGCCCTTACTCTGGCAAGGCAAGAGGAACTCTCTATGGCTTCAGTGGCACAAGATTGCCAGCCCAGCCTTACTGAGCAGCACCCTCCTCGCTCTTATTTCTACGCTTCCTCTTTTGAGGCTGGCCATCTTTGATGAGCAAAAGTGAAGATTTCTGCAGTGTCTGGAGGTTATTTGAACAGGAATTTCAGGCAGGTTCTTCAAGCATCATTTGCTAGGTACACAAACATATTCCAGGCTCTGCAGACATTTTCAGTTATATAGATCTTTCATTTTCTAGAGACAAAACTGAATTTCAGCTAGAAACTTTGGCATTGCATTTGAAATTATTTGAAATAAGATCTGAAGACAAGCCCACAAGCTTTTTTTTTTTTTCTCTCCTTCTCCTCTGTTTTTGTTTTTAAACAACTTGCTAAGACTACGTTACAGCACTAGACTAACTAAAGAGTTCAATGTTATATCATTTCAATACCAAGCATGTTTTCTGGACTTTAAAACAAGACACTGGGGATAAACAATATATATCTAACCTTTGAGATACCCTCTGGCTCCTACAGGGAGAAAATTAATCAAGTGATGTGGATAATGTTACTTTGGGCACTGTGCACAGAACAACTTTACTAGATTAGAAGCTAAAGTAAATTCACTATTATCATCATATAAAGTATGAATCCAGTCTGAAGCATATAGTTACCTGAAATGATATTAAACATTCTTGGGTTCAGGATAGCAGGGCAAATCAGTCGAAGAAAAACAAAGCCACTGAAATGGGAAGAAAAGTGTATTTTATTCAATAATAAAAACAGAATTAATGCAAAATTTTGTAAGTAGTTAAGAATTCATGTCAGTGTGGAAATCTTGTATATAGATAATAACCAACCAGCCTGCAATCTGAAAATGTTTGTTAATTAAGAAAGTTTTCATATGATTTCAACTGAGATAAAACTTGAAAATCAGGCGTGGTGATTCCCCAATTAAGGGGAAATTCTGCAGCCCCCATGGAAAGCAGCTTGCACTGTAAAGCCACCCTGAACCCAACTCAAGTCCACCCTGGCTTCAGACAGGAGCAGCGCCTGGTCTCCCACCTCTCCCATGTGCTGCCGTGTCTGCTGGGGCACATGATTCATCCTGTAGCCCCTGATCTCCTGAGGGGACACCAGGAAAGCAGGAGCGCCCAAGCCAGAATGGCACCAACTGGTCCTTTAATGTTAACACAGCCTTCTTCCATCTTGAGCAAACCCACACCTAATGGTGTAGGATCCTGTGTAAAATGAGGCCATGTAAGGGGTTCATAAGGTTGCGGTGACTAGGTACCTAATCTCGCCATTTGCTTCTGTGAAAATAGCTTGCTGTTCGGATTACGCAGAATTAAGTTTAGCACAGGCAGAAAATATCAAGAACTAGAACTAACAGGACACCACCTCCTGCTCTTGTTGCAAGTTGCACCTAATCACGCCATCTGCTTCTGTAAACACCACTTGCTACTTATGCTGCGTCATCCTGCTCTTGCTGCAACCACAAGATAAGATATCAGACGTGAAGAACTGGTAACCATAAAATAACGTATGAGGGAGTTGCAACTGTCTATAAAAACACGAACTTCTCCCCAGGCTGGGCAGATCTTGGGCACTGTAAGAAATCCGTCACCGGCCGGCTAATAAAGCTTACCCTTTTACCCACCAGGTTGAGTGTGCGGGTGATTGCTGGGATTACGAACTAACATTTTGGGGGCTCGTCTGGGATCTCAGTAGTCGCCAGGCCCTCCCTGGTTGGGAAGGGCCGCCCGACTTCGCCGGGGGAACGCTTCCAGGGGGAGCGCTACCTGATGATGTTCCGGTGCCCCGATTTTTCGTGTGGTGGACTGTGGGAGGTCTGACGAGACAATAACTCCCTGCCACCGGCACGCATTGGGACGCCACTGCGTTGCCTTGGGAATAGGTTCAGGTTTTGCGAGGTTCGTGTTATTGGGAATAATAGGTTTTCCATGACTTTTGTTCATTGTGTCGTGTCTGCTGTGTTGTATTTGTTGTGTTTTGTTTGCTTTATTTGTCCCTTGAAACCAGACAGAATGGGACAAACATCTTCCATTCCCCAAGGAACGCTTCATTGTTTCCTAACTACCCAAAATTTAGGAGATGGATTCTCCTAAATTATGGGTTTAATATAAAAGTAGATAAATTGAAAAAAGTTTTTGTAGTATGGAAAGGCCAAAATTTGGAGTAGGATGGCCCCCTGAGAGGTCGTTTGATCCCGAGATAGTTCGAAAGGTGTTCCTCATCATTCTGGGGGAGCCAGGCCACCCTGATCAGGTTCCGTATATCGTCCCCTGGAACGATATCTTAAAAAAATCTCCTATGTGGTTGCAGCAATGCATGGCAAAATGTGGAAATGAGTGTAAAATACTGGCAACAAAATTAGGACAAAATAAGGCCCCCACTTCATCCATACTACCTGTACCTAAATTTCCTGTCCTCCAGGAGCCACCTGAAGATCCAATTTTACCACCCTATAGCCCCCAAGAACCACGAAGTCCCCCTGTGGTGCCGGATCAACATGGTGGTCCTATCCAGGACAACCCTTTATCCCCACCCCACACCAGAAGGGGTCAAACTTATGGCCCGGTGGCAACTGGTGCAGCCATCTCTCCTGACTCCACTAGCTCCTCAGTACCAGTTTTACTGCTAAGGCACTTCCCCTGGAGGAAGTGGGAGCGCATATATGTACGTGCCCTTCTCCACCACGGATTTGTATAATTGGAAACAACAAAACCCTCCTTTCTCACAAGGCCCTGGCGGCATTACATTCCTTCTTAAATTTGTGATGTATAGCTATCAGTCCACGTGGGATGATTGTCAACAACTCCTCCATGCACTATTCACAACAGAGGAAAGGGAAAGGATACTAAGAGGATACCAGGAATAGAAGATCTGATCGAACATGGTTGTAGGAATGTTCAAGATGAATGTGTGCCCCTCCAACGTCCGGAGTGGGATTATTATACGGTGGACGGACAAAGGTACACTGAATTGTATCACCAATATCTGTTACAAGGGCTCCAAAAAGCAGCCAGAAAACCTACAAATTTGTCA